ATTGCTGGGATCCCGACCACTTGATGTTTCAGAGGGTCCGGAAGAATCTCACACCACCACAAATTTAAATTGAGTCTAGACCTGAGAAATCCACGAATCCCCGTGCAGGCCGCGCATTTCACCCTGGGCGGCGGCGGACATTCGCTAGCCGAGTGCCAGACTGCCTGTGCAGCGCAGGCGGAGCATCTATTGTGGCATACTGTTAGTATTATGTAGTGTACGTACTGTGTTACGAGTACATGAGTAGAGCAGAAGTGATTATCGTACATGTGTAGTATAATTAGAGTATAATATATGATGCAGTATATAGTGAAGGCTTAGGAAGCCTCCGGAGACTAAGACTATAGTCGGTCATTTTCCTTGATATAACTTTAGTACTATACTACTTAGTAGAACAAACCCCAACAGCCACTTCTAATTACTGAGGCCCCTATGTCATAGCATTGCGACTGAAGGCTGGGGTGTTGGCTCGTGCAAGTTGTGCCAGGGGGGCATGGCATGCAAATCACGTGCCGAACGGTGCGTTGATATTAGTGCTGATGGTTTAGAGTTTAGGATGGATATGGTGATGTGAAGTGTGATGAGCCGATAGAAGCCCAACTGTTTCCGAGGCAGACTGCACCGTCCTGGTCCACTACGAGCGCACGGGCTTTTGCCACATGTTCCGGCTCCCTGCCAGCAATGCGAAGAATTGCTCGCCACACACCCAGGAGCATTGAACGGATGGAATCTCCCAGGCAAAGCATGCGATATGAGTTAAAATTAAACCTGGTCGACCGGACCACCCTGCAAACCCGAGATCCATCAAAGCCGCTTGATTAGCAATAATGCACCCTTGCAGTTCCTATATGATTATTGTAGGGCCCTTTCATCCCTAAACCCTAAACCGAACCTCCATCAAAGGCAATGCCTCCAGCGGCTTCCTGCTTCCGACGGGGCGGTCCTCTTCGTGCGGCAGTGAGCCTCCGGGAGCGGCGTGATGTAGGGGCCTTCATAATTAGA